GTACGGTTAACAGCAAAGACTAGTTAAGGAATAAATTTTGTAATGTTGAAAATGGTTTTATAATGTCACAATTCCTGTTTGGTTGTATATTTTTACATGTTTCGAAATATTTTATCCATAGATTTTTGTTCAATCAGTTAACTTCTGAGGACACCGGTGGCCCAGTATTTATTCAAGGGGAATCGAAACCCGACTGTCTTGGTGAAAGGCGAATGCGCTATTCATTGTGCCACTCGATTGACCATTCAGGCGAGTACAAGAACAGCTTTACTACAGAATATCTTTCTAGGCCATCCACCTTAGTACCTCAATTTGTGTAAGAGTGGGTGTTCGTGTGTTTTTGGTCAGTATTTCCAACGGCCCAGTTTATAGCCTAATGTTACTTGAACTCTACAATACAGAAACCGGAATGCAGAATTGGGGATTTGCTTTGGTGTCCTCTTTTTGTGGACACAGAAGCGGCACAAAATAAATCTGCTGCACACATTACAATATTTGGGATCTGTATCTACTAGTTCTCCTTCTAACTACCTTTTATTTCCTAGCGCATTGCTCGGAAACACCTCACTTTTGGCTTGAATGTTGAGCGTTCGCCCAGGTAAGGAAGACAATGGGCTCTCTCCCCAGGCCCGGACATACAAAAGTCCCTGAAAATGGTAGTTGCTATTCCCTGCTTAACCTTCAGCATTTAAGGGAATTGCAACAGCTGGTTCACTCGTTGTCAGTATAATGTGACCGGGCGGATTGCTGTGCTGAGTGCCTTCGGCATGGTATTTCAGTGATATAGAACTATCAAGTCGGCATCAGATCCACGGTATCACAAGGAGACAAATACACCAACATACCATGTCTCCTGCATACACACACGCAAGCACGCATACACTACACACAAGGAGGCACGTCCTTAAATGACCTTAGCTGTTAATTAAACCAAACCAAAAGAAACCGGAATTCCAAACCCGACTATATCAAACTCCACACGGTAAGTGGAGCCGAGCGGTAATGATAAAGAGTCTTGCTCACGAAGGAGACGACCCCGTCGATCGCGCCGTCTGCGGGTTCCTAGCTCTTGACCTTGCGGTCATTTGGTTGACGAGCTACCAACAGAGCTTTTCGGCCCTTTGCCCATGATATTGATATTGAATCATATTCTTATTGAATCGAACGTATATGTCTTCAGATTAAAAGGCCGTTCACGCAAACCGACTGTTTTGGTGGTGATTCAAATTGGCGTTGCAAATGATCCTTGTGTATTCATAAAGAGATTCCCACGGAGCGGGGACGATGGCGTTAACGTCCTTAACGAAGATAGAACCCCCATCCCTCCACCCCCACCCCCAACATCAAAGAAAACCTTTCCTGGGTGTTCGGGATTCTCCTGTTACTTGCATATGAAGGGGAATGAGTAAAGTGACTATCCTTCATTTAGCAGTGCAGTAAAGAAGATATTACAACATGTTATGTTCTCAAACATCGACACAATGACTCTTTAGCTGCTATAAACTAGACTAGCCAATAAAGTATAAACTTGTACTTACACATGACATTAAGTCTGGAATATCGCAATCACGTGAATAGCACGTGATTTTAGGCATTAAAATCCAACGCGTCCGTGCATTTCAAATGGTATCTCAACTTTATTAGTATAATATGACGCCATTAAACCACCAAGTTGTTAGCTTGGGTAATATTTACAAATACATAAATGTTCGTCGGTGAACAGAAGAGGGTCGTCTTGTAAACTTTGGTTGTTGACATAGTCCCTTAAGTTGTGTGTACCTTTAATTCGTTTTAACATTCTACATATATGTAGACAGGAAGACACTTAAACAACCAAATATTGGCCGAGGTTTTTAATAGTATGTGCTGTAGAGTATCTATCTGAAGAGGCGACAAGAGGTAAAGTGACGTCCTCAGCGATTTGGTCTGATGAATAAAAGTATACTGACTTCGAGACGAATTGTTAAATTTAACATTACATTATTAAAGTATTTTAAAATTACATTTTTTAAATAATCTTAACACTTCTTTATAAACATTACAGATATGGCGAAACAAGAACATTTTCCCTTCTGTTTCTCTCAATTACTAACCAAATAAAAAACAGTTTCGTGTGATATTTGGCAAAATCCCCCTTTGGGCACACGTTGATCAACTTATACGAAGCACTGTCTCTGAAATTAACTCGGTAATTAAATTAATCATTTAATCAAATTAAACAATAGATTAAATTAATCTGTTGATGAGTATAGTGATATAATGTCGAGTAAAATGATTATTAATAACCCAGGTGACCCTTTTTCGCATCTGAGGAAGATGTTGTTTACTTTGTTAAAAGGTATATGAATGGTGAAATGCAGGTTATGTTTGATGAGCTAAACTGTAGTATTCCCATTTGCTCTGCATTGCCACTATACTACCTTACCAAACAAAATAGAAAGATATCAGATCATAATTATCACATCCTTCCATTTGGTGTAGTGATATGAAGAAAATGTTCGTGGCGTCGTGACTAAATAACGTCGTTTTGACCGACGTCCCTACATTAATTAAGTGTGTTATTGACGTCACAAAAAATGTAACAATACGTACTCCTCGTGGTAACCCATCCGAGCTACCAGATTTAAAAAATCAATGTAACTCGCAACAATTACGGTGGAATATATTGATTAAATTGTTGAAATTAAATTGATGATTTTGTGTTTATATCCACGAACTATATTTTTTGCCGGGAACGGTCGCGTGTACTCGTGACGTCACTAGAACAGGTCCCATTGACAGACAGCGCGAAATTTGACTTTGAAATGCGATAACAGGTTGGAAATATAAGAAAAACTTGAATTAAAAACGGAAATATATAAGTATTAATTAATAGCTGTTATCCTATAATTCGCACAGGATTGAAGACAAATTAATCATAATGCGCTAACGCGCGTTATTCAATTTGTCTGCAATCCTGTGAGAATTATATAGGACAATAACTTTTCAAAGAAGGCAGTTTACGTGATGTTTGACATCACAGAGGCACGAATTATCCGATATCCTGTTCATTATATATGTGTGCCCATTCTGACACACCCTAAGTTATGTGTCATATTCTTTCTTCAATTATTCTACGTAATTTTGCATTTTAATTTCATTTGTCATCGGAGACAGGAATCTAGTGACCCAATAGTTTGGGTACTGAACTCGAAAATGGGAGAATGGATGTTGTGGAATTGTTTCGGTAAAACTTATGCATTCTCCTCTCAAAGTTTACCGTCTTTACATTTTGATGTGCTATTCATTTTTGTGTTTTTACTAATACCTGCAAACGAAAGTAATAAAACGTCTATCATCCACTGGTCGTATGAATATCGTTTTATTATATATGTATATTCATGTATAGTGTATATTAATAAAAGATATTAAATGTCCATGTGAAGTAGGTAAGCAAAAAAATAATATTTAACGACTGACTACAAAACTAGCAGCTTTCACCCTTCATAGGGCTCACCATGTTTACTTTATCATGTATACAGTATCGTTTTCAAGTAACATTGGATTCTATACTAATTCACTTTTATAACAATCCGTCTTATTGAAATATATTTAAAATGTTGCCAGCGCGTGTTATCAAACTTATTGTGTATTATGCCGGGAGAGGGCTTTGTCATTGGTAAGAACTTGCTCCTAGTCTCTTTGACTTAATTAATTTAAATATCAATTTATGATATCCGGTTCGGACTTTCTTTTGACGTCATTCCCTATAGAGAACAGTGTTAATTGGACCGTAAAACATGTTTTGACTGACCAATTAATTTATCCCAGTTAAAATTCTAAGAAACGGACAATAATGTAAAATAAATACCATAAACAGTGCTGGATGATAGGTTTGTGCTGACTTTCATCGAAATAGAAGGAGAAAGAAAGTCAGCATTGTTTTGCTGGGGTCGGAATTTCTTATGGTCTGGTTTTGGGCCCATCTCACATTTTCGAAATGTAATTTTCTCGGTAAATTAAAATACTATACGGAACCTTCAAACAAAAATTCTAAATAGAATACATCCACCGTCTGACACAGGGCGGCAAATTGTCTTTCAATTTATGTAAATAGTTCATTTTCAGTTGAAAGTTACATATAACACCGAGTTCTAATTATATATTTATTTATTTTATTCTGCAAATTTATGAAGCTTTAAAAATATGCAATTCCTCTTAACTAACAGATACGTATTTTCACGATGGCAGCTGTTACGTATATTATCGTTTTACCTATAGCACGGACTTAGATCTAATTCCGTGTCTATAGTAATAATTAACAATAGATTTACGAGATATCTACATGTAAATACATGTTTTTCTTCTTCGGCGACGACACCGTTAATTTTTGCATTGGAAATACTAATAGCAAACGCATTACACGATGTACATAAAATATTAAACCATGAGGTTGATATAACTTATTAGCATCGATCTTATATCGGCGGATCCAGAGGGGATTTTCTTTAAAAATCATGTATTTTCACCATTTTCCTCAATTTTTCCCCACATGGAAACCCCCCAGATAGATCTCTGGATCCGCCACTGTGTATTTAATTTTTATATCAAATGATGGCGATGATTTGTGAAGAAATTCTATTATCTTCAGATGGATTATAATGTCATGTGTTTACTTTTATTTAATAGATCCAACTTGACCATTTACGCATATAAGGGTAGCGTATTTTACCGTTGTTATCGTATTCATTGTACTCGATGCTATGGTTCTCTACAATTGTCATAAAGTCAGACTCAGTCACAACTTCGCTGTGATTCGTCACTACCGGACACGCCTTCCACTGCTGTGAATACGTAACAATTACTTATGAATATACAGTAATGATGGTATCTAGAAAAACACCTGTCTTCAATTTATCACATGGATTAATTGATCGAAAGTACACTTAAGTGTGACATCGCCTCTACAGGTGTCACGTGACAGTGTTTCGAATCCGAACGGCCTCGAGCAAGCACGCTGTGATCCAGTCTTGTTACTCGTTCAATGACGTGGAGTAATTTATGATACGTTTCGCTATTTAACCATATAATTGGAGTTTCGTGCGTTGTACAAACGTTTCTTCGGAAGTAGGCAAAGCATGCCCAACAGTGTGTGACTACAGAACGTGCTTCCCCCTTACGGGTCTCTCTAGCAGACAGCAGTGTTTTCTCGCATAGAAAGTATATTGTATATATATACACATTTCGTGTGTACAGCGTGGAGAAGAGTGTCGGATTTTAGCAGAAGTTTGTACTCCATATCAACTTTAAATGGGACAGAATCGAATCAAGTGAGAGCAGGCTAGTGTAACACAGTCATAATGGCGACGAAAGTCGTCTATTTCATCGTCGACGGTAATAAGGAACAGGCTGAATTCCGAAGCGATGACAGTCGGGACGATTTGAAAGGTAAGAGCTGTCATTCATATCGTCGAATAATAAAGCGTGAACGATCTCAAGTTTATCTCCCTTACTATATAGTAGCTAACTCGACGATTAGTGGCACACCGTGTAATAAATCTGACTGATCTTGGGGGATATGGAGGGATATGGTGTAATTATGACGAATTCTAATACAGTAGCAGCGGTATTAGCGATTGTACACAGCAGGTGCGTGAAGCTCCAAGGGGAGGAAGTGGGGAGGGGTACCGGAGCTACGTACACACCACATGTACACAGAAGCAGTGTATACACGTTGAAGTTATGATGTATGTGTATTATAAAAAGTTGTTATAAAGGGTAAATTCTGCTGTATATAATGTATAAACATAGACTGTTTTGTTCTACGTGGAAGTGATTTGCATATTATGTTTATAATTAAAATGTTTTTACTTCATTGTTACCAAAATGACATACATTGTATACTATCCAACACCCTTCCCCCACCCCCTTCTCACACAAAATTTATAATGAATAGACAATAATTACACTTAAATAAGAAGGTCAAATTTATAAAACTATAGGTAAAATCACGGAATTATACTAAGTCCGTGGTAAAATAGACTATCACCATATATACCTGTATAAGTAATCATTTTTTGCAATAAAATTACACATTTGCATAGAAAGGTTGTGCAGTTGGAATATATATACATACAATAATGTACATTGTTGCACAGATATAAAAAACAATGAAATTATAAAAAGTTGTAAAGTGTTCATGTTGCACACTGGATTTGTTTTGAACAACGTTGTAAAATGTTGTATATAAACTTACCTGGCCATGACAAGTTATCCGTTTACAACAATGTTCATTTACATTACATTCAAAGGGTTACATCACTGTTTATGATAATGTAGTGGAGTAATGTGATGTTATTTTGAGTTTAAACTTACTGTTTTACCACAAACTGTATTCATTATTCAACCAACACTTCTGCCTACACGTGTATATATATAGGTAAAATATAATTATTCACCACATTTTACCCATTTGGATAAATTAATGTTTCTCTGTTTGTTTTCATTTCATTTAATGAGCAATCAATTCATGATCAACGATTAATGATCGATTGTTTGAGAAAAAGCTGTGATTGATCATGAAGCGATTTCCAACACTATTCAAATGTCATATGGTCTAGACCTCATATGCATGCATGCATATACAGTTGCCATACAAATCAAACCTGGGTTTTCTCTGACAAACACCCAAATGCAACAAATGTAAAATTTTCCTCAATGAGTATAGGCACTCCAAAACACTGCTCAATTTCATTCACAAGGTATAAATGTGGGGGAATATTTGTGTAGTACTTTTGTCATTTGCTCTAGACCTCAAACTTAAACCGAGGTTTGTTCTGACAAACACCCAAATGCAACAATTGTAAAAAAAATCCTCAATGAGTATAGCCATTAAAAATCGCTACTCAATTTTCATATTCACCAGGTATAACTGTGTGTGAATATGAATGTAGTATTATAATTTATTACAGTAGAAAAACTAGGATGATGATACGTTGAAAGCTGTAGGCACATGTACAGCCCCTGTGACCTAACATGCACACACTCTAATGTTCAATACTGTGCCGTCACTGGAAGTCTTAATTATTATGTATTTAATTACAGCTTAACACTAATCTAATTACGTGGAGAGTCGGTTTAAACAATATTTATTACTTAAATTAATTTACAATACAATATAATCACATCAATTGAAAGGATCTGGCGACAAGATATAAAATCTTATATTAGGCCATCTCCTTCAGGTAACATTTAACAAACATTTATATTCTCTGACTGACCATAATTGTTTAACATATATAACATACATTTTAATCTAATTAATAAGAAAGAAAGAAATGAGAAATAAAGAGTTACATTTTTAAGAGAGATAGAAGATAGAGATTTAGAAATTTGAGAGAGTGATGAGATTCAACAACACCTAGAATCTGCCTGATGCCATTAATGTTTACCTCTGAACTTGATTAAAAATTTCAATATTTTCTATTTGAGACAAATTTGGGTCACCTTGAAGCAATATATCAATATTTATGTTTATATTTAGCTCAAATATTGTAGTAAGTCTATGTTGTCTATAGTTTGTACATTCTAATAAGAAATGAGATGCCGTCTCAATACTACCGCATTGACATAGGTTTGACTCAGCAACATGGTTTTTGCACAGATCATATTTTAAAGAGCTACACACAAGACTTCGTCTTGTATGGAGTACATGGGCCTTACGATGGCCATTGAAATATTAGGACGGCTTTTTGAATTTATTCCGGTTTAAATATCTTACAAAAAAAGGTTTAGACGGTGAATTTCTGGTTTCATCAGGAATTGCGTTCCATTCTCGTATGGCTGTAGGTAGGAATGAAGACTGGTAGGTATTAGTTTTACTGGATGGGAGATGCATATTTGAATTTGACCTTAGTCTATAACCTTGAGAGGCACCAATACTTGGGGGTAGTATGTTCTGTAGATACGCAAGGGCATGCTTATGATACATATTGTACAATGCTATCATCCTATGTTTATAACGTCTATATGGTAAAGATTCCCATCCAGTTTTCCAAGTTATAGAATTAGTTGATTCAGATTTTGTTGCTCCTGTAACATTCCGGCCAGCTTCCATCTGCAGTTTTTCAATATCTTGATTGTCCTGTTGATTGCAAATGCAAAATCATGTCAAATTGTCACAATGAGTCAGAGTTAGATAATAACTCTTTGACATCCCTTTATGACATTCATTATTTTTAGCGCTAATATCAATTTACGAGCTTCAGTTGACCAGTGTGTAATTAAGGTGTCAGATCGAGCTCGGAGCCAGGTGTGCTGGACTGCTTCGCTTGTAGCTAGCTAGGCAAGCTCAGTACTGTAAGCTTCGATGTAGATAAAAACAAAAAAAACTTGCTCATTGTGACAATTTGACATGATTTTGCATTTACTAACTGTCTGCATTGTAAAATAGCAAATTCATATATTTCAAATCATGTCGGAACTAAAATACAGTTGATAATGAGAGATGCACTGTTTCAATATGTTCAATGCTGTGAGATATGACATTGACGTTTGATGAAAATATGGACTGATATATGGACAATGTATACAATTGTAAGGTTGTGTTTAACTGTAAAAAGCATAAATCTAATATGATGTCCTTCGATTCATAATACAGTGACATGTTTCCTTTGAATTTTACATTTGGCTATAATTAAGGTTCAGTCTGTGCATTTCACAGCAATAAACTTGCGCATGATATACATGTATAATTAGAAAGTTTCATTTCAATTGGAATAATTCTTTTTTTTGTTCATTTAATTACTTTAAAATGTTTTATGTGACTGATATTTGATGATATATATGTAACCATGGTAAAGATTCAACTTTTTAATTTCCTGTCATTTGTTAATTTGAGAAATGTTTCTAATTATTTTGAAAATCTAAAGAACTAGCAGAATTCTATAGTAGCATTTAATCAAAAATAAATAATCTCTATACATGTATATTAAGTGCTGAACATTGTTTGATTCAATTAATTTCTGGCCCAAATAATAGAGTACTGTACAGTACAGCTAACGGTTGGATATATTTAAGAAATTATTGAAATCATTCACCCAGTGTTCTCCCTGTTTTAGCGCTACAGTACCGTTACGCATGAATTTTGAGCCGTTACGCATCACCAGTTTTCACCCCTGAAATTTCATAACAAACTATTCCAACCCTTGAATTGGAAGAGTTCAAATGTATCTTCAGGAGTGAATGAGTTAATCATGTAAACAGGGATCAGCAAACTCTAAATGTTCTGTTTAAATCATCCATTTTACAAGCAAAAAAAACCAAATTACAATGTACCTATTGGCAGAGTGGTTAAGGCATCTGACAGCCTACCATCACTCGAGTCCTCCATCACTGGGTCACAGGTTTAAGCTAAGGCCTAGCTATGCTACTTAAATCTTGTAATTGGTTAACGTTTCAGTCACCAGGTACTAAAAGCTGCAGGTTGGTGGTTTTTCTCCAGGTACACCAGCTTTCCTCCCCCATCGAAACCTGGCATGTCCTGCAACGACCCTAGCTGTTATATTATAGGACATAAACAGGACGTAAAGCTCAAAGAATCCAAACAAGCAAAGACGTATTTATACCGGTAGCTATTACAAAGAAGCATACATATAAACATGAAACACTTTTACAGGGTGTGTCTTTCTGGATTTTGAATGCCCAGAAGTACTATAGTGGTGGTCAGGTGTTCTCCGAAAATTTGTGAGAGATTTAATTACAATATGTACGTCACCGATAATATTAATTTGTTATATAGCCATGCAAAGACATTGACTGTGACTGAAGCCTTTATTGTGAAACCTTATTATTTTCCTTATAGCATATGTGACCTCGGCACATTCTTAAAGCTACCTATTAAAGAGATGATAGAATATAGATTTGTAGATACAGTGTACTAGCTGGCTATATACCGCAAATTCCTCCGTGATGGTTCTAGTGCCATGACAGACAATTTTTAAGCTTATAGAGATTGGGAAGCTCTTTATCGAAACACGTCACCATCGAAGGAGATTAGGAGTAATGTTTATTTACCTGTGCCAGGTGTTAGATATAGTCTAAAGGTATCTCATAAACGTATTTACAGGAGACAGGCTTTCCCATGATGACAGTTCTTGTCGGAGATATTTAAACGAATTTTTACCATACCAAATTTTAATGGTGTGTTCCCTTTGTACTGGTTCATGACTCAGCTGTTATCCATGGCCTTTTACCTAAATAAATGACTATTTTCAAAAAGAATTTACATAATCTGTAAAATTATTAGTAAATTGATCAGTTGCAAATAAAATGCATGAAAAAAAAGCTTTATGAATTTACATGTACAGTTCAAATAAAGTATATCATGCGAAATGCATAATGATTCAAGAATTTCCCGAGTTCAAAAGCTATACATGTCCATATATATA